ATGAAATTGCAATTGAATAGGGAACTATATTTTTACTCAGGCCTTATTCAGGTGAAATCATATAGTTTAAAAACCAGGTAAGAATTTCAGAGCTTGAAAGAGCATTGCTCTGTCAATTCAAAAACGTTTTCAGCCACATCTGTTCTGAATTTGTAGCAGCTATTTTGCAACTCTCTGGGTAGCAAACATATGCCAGGTTTTGCCTGTCAGACTTGACTAGCTCTGCCAACACATGCACACACGTTTTACCTATAACCACAAATAATTTCAGCCTGTGTTCTGGTAGGCCTTACGTGGATCTGTAAACAATACAGTGCCTTTCTGTGCTTCAGTAAATTGGCAAGAACGATGAGCTGACAAAGGACTACCTTGTGTTTTTCTGGCTGAAATTTAGTTGCTTCTTCTACAAGGAAGTTTACAAATATATCTTCAAGGGAGCAAACTCCATGGTGAAAACCCTGCATTAAAAAGCTGAAGTTGCCATAACTCATCAAACTTCTCCCTACTCTGATGACACCATCTGAAGTCTCATTTCTAAACTCAAGGATGCTAGTAACAGTTTTACAGTCACACGCTGCAGACTACACTGTTACCATTATAGAAGGTGTCACAGAGTCAATGAATGCATTTGTAATCAGTGCTTGCTACAGTCAGCACAATGGAGTTACTGAGAGCACTGAATATTCTGCAGACCATAGTGAAGAAGCCCAGTCATTAAGGAAAAAAAAAAAAATCATGTTCTCACAGACAGCTCAAACTGCCCTCAAAGCTCCTGGAAATGGTTTGTGAAGATTTACAGCTTGCTTAAAACTTGAACTAGACATTCAGCCTGAGAATGTTAAGACAGCATGGGATACTGATGTACTTTAATGCCCAAGAGTGTTACGTGGATGTAAGAAGCTACCAGAAATTGAGCCATGTGCACCACAAGGAAGGTATGATCAAGAGATGCTTTTGCTTTGACCAAAATCTGCAACTGTTTGCCATCATTTCATTCTTCCTAAGGCCAACAAAAATAGTGATTGCACAGAGTACAACTTCATCCCAGTTTTGATCTCAGTTCTTCAATATTGCTGGCCTGAAAAAGTTTATTAGTTCTTTTATACTTTCCATCAGACAGATTTGTTGACAATTAACTGTGGAAGAATGGGGAGGATATATCTGTTGTTAATCTTCAAATATGATCTGCTACCTGAATGGATTTAACATGCATTCAAATTTTAGACTAGGTACTGAGTTCGCGGTACTTGATCCAAGCCAATCCATTGAGGCTGGTGCTGGAAGATAGGTATCTATTGCATTTCTTTGAATCAAGAGGACAAAATTACCATTTTAATCTTACAAATGCATCTTTAAATCCAGTACACAGTGTTCCCATAAGGTTCACTGCATCGGGACCCTACTCTAAACCTGAAATTTTGGGGAACGCTTACAGTTACAGTCCAGTGCAGGAAAGATGTTCTCTCTCACACAGACACCATCTTTCACAGGCTCTGTTTCTGGGCTGCGAATCCCCAACCTGAATATGTCTGAAGTCTTGAATCAGAGAAGGTGAGATTTAACCACACAGGATACAAAATCTGGCTCTGCAACAGCAATAGTGCAACATGGCATATGGGTAACTCGCTCTCCACAAGGCACACATTCCCATTTGAACAGTGTTCTGTTGGTGGTCCCAGCAGCCTGGTTGAGCAGCTCCTACAAGTTTCTAATACAAGTTTTCTTTAGTCATCACGGAACTTAGCCTACCTCTTGTCAGTTCCATTTTAAGACACTTAGTTCTGCCATGTATTGGAAACTTAGGTGCTTGGCCCAGTGCTGCCAAGACCATCTGGGGAACAGTCACTGAAAAGAAGTGTAAGCAGGAGACAGACTCCTGTGCCTACATCCATCTCCGTGTGTGGTAAGTTAGCTTTTTATTCCAAAGGTCCACCTTTGGGTGAATATGCTTTAAAAAGAGGACTCGGGCCACTCATACACAGTTACAGTAGTCATTAACTCCAAACAGTTGAGGTCAAATTTGGTCCCCATTGCATATCAGGAAAACATCACAGCCTGTCCACTTTATGCCACTCTGTCACTACAGTTGTTCAGGGTGCCATGGTACAGTTTGGGACAACTAGAATGCACCAGTGCTCTGACCATTAGCTACCCTTACTCCTACACGAAGCTTGTGTCAAAGGCTGCAATCTCCAGATGTTTCCCAGGAAGATCTAAGACAGGTTTCTGCTGGTGACATTAACCCAGAGCTAATTCACTACAGAACAAGGATTAAGCACGTTTCCAAGACACAGTGGTGCATGGCTCAAGATAACACTAACTTTATCCTATGCTCCGCTTGCCTCGTGAACAACTACTCCTCCACATATCAGGTAAATTGCAGAACTTGATATTCAAGTTCTTCTTGGCAGTTGCACAGTACTCTTGCAACATCTTTCTGCTTCCCACTAGGAGCTGGGATACATTTTTGGACTTAGCACTAAGCTTCCAACTGACTTTGGACATTTTCTGTGCTTGCTGCCAGCATCATCTTGGTTCAGCATCAGGTTTCAAGACAACAAAAAGACTAGCTAGTACTATCGTGCTATTCTCCTTGCCAGTACAGGATTGCTTTCCCAATGCTGTATTTATTTTTTGATTACTTTTTGAGGGTAGCTACAGAGCCAACAAGTTACAACTAGGCACACTAAACACACAGTAATATAAGCTACGCTTTCACCACCCAGAATGTGTGAGAATGGCTGCAAAGACTCGCTTATGTCCCTAATCTCCTTGGCCATCATCCCCCTTCTGTGTGTGTGGCTGGAGGAGGCAGCGGGGAAGTGAATGACTCTCAGACCTTATTCCCACCAGTTCCCATGTTTCCCTTGCCACCATCCCATCCATGTGCACATCTCCAACACAGCAATACAAGTAGGATGGAAACAATCACCACCATCCCCTCACCGTTACGCATCACCTCCTGCTGCCATTCTCCCCTTCCTAGGTGATAAAGTTCCAGGTCGAAAGGAGCTGGAGGTGAGAGCCAAGAGTGCAGAAAGAGGGTGGACATCATTCCCCGACTTCCACTTCCAGCCCCTACTACCTGTCTCATACTTCACAGAGTAAGAATGAAGAAGCCAGGGGAAGAGCTAATAGAGCAAAGAGAACCAAAGATAACTGGCACTGGCTACCTCTGTGATATTTAGGAAAAATAAAATTCCTGATAGACATACCAAGTCCCATTTTTCTGCTTCTGGAGCAACCAGAGAACAACTGCAGATAACTGGCACGCCAGTGCTGAGCCAGGGGAATTCAGCTGAGAACTCAAATCAGGGCGTGCAAAATCCATGGATTGGTGAGGAAGGTCCAGAATAAGGGCAGTTTAGGAATAATGTGCAACTGGAGGAATCGGGAAGGAAGACAAAATTTGACACTTCCAGTGCAGGAATTTCCTCAGGGCACTATCTCAATAGCTTTTGTCAGGACTTTAAGTTCACAGATAGACAGATAGATGTTTTTCCTCTCCCCTTTCTTCCCAGCCATAAACTGCCATTGCAAAGGACTACTCCATTCACCTCACCCTCTTTTTCTGCTGTCAGAAGCACAGCAGCCTGAAGCAATTAGCTGCAGTTGCCTTGTGTTGGAGCCCTATGATAATCCACACCAGGAACTGTGAATTCACTGCCAGAAGAATTACTGATTCGTACATTATTAACTTCACTGCATTTCAAGCTGGAAACAATTCATCCCGTGTTTCATAAAATCAATTTCTTGGTCTCCCAGTCATGCACATACATGTCTAACACTGATAGTCAGAATCTGATGTTGAGAGCAGGGGTGTAATTTAATCTGCAGCTCAGCAAGACAACTAATGTGGCCCACTCTTCTGGTGGCAATTTGGGACTAGGATGCATACCAGATACATTCTTTGAGGCTGGTAGTAACAGCCATCCCAAGAGCCCAAGACTCCTCTCCAGCATGATGCAACGGCCACAGAAGTACTTAACAGGGAACAGAATAATCTTCAGGCAGCTAAAAAACAAAAGGGACATTTATTGTCTCTGTCTTGACTTTGCAGATAGCCTCAAACCACATTTTTTCTCTTTACTGTGTAGAGACTGGAATTTGACCAGTGTATCATTAAGTCAGAAACCTGGGGAGATTAACTATTACACGCTTGAAAGTGAAGTTCACCATCTTGCGATAAAACCAAGTTTTAACCATCTGCTGCTGTAAAAGTGTAACTTACTGTTTGCTTGTCGTTAGCCACAGCACCCAAAGTTTTCATGATCATCCATTTAATCAACTGCTGCCCCAGGTTCCTCTCCTCTAACCGCAGTGAAGACTTGTGAGTGAAGCCCCAAGGGCTGCAGTTTCACAGTGCTTTCCCAGAAGGCCATCAGAAGCCCTCCTCAGTTGTTTAGCTTCAGCTAACAACTCCTTTAGCAGCAATGTCCTTTGTTCCCCTTCCATCAAGCGCTACCTCACTTCCTACGCAAACTTCTTTCCAGCTCCCCCTCCTCTCCCCTGCCTTTTAGGCAGTTGCTTAAGTCCTGCGCAGCTGTGCACAGGGACTGAGCCACCTGCCCACGCTCCGGTCCATCTGTGCAAGGTTTATCTCCCCCCCAACAATACTCAGCTTTTATGGCTGCTCACTTTGACAAGACTCTTAAAGCTGTAATTTCTCTTCTTATTTGAAATTACTCGCTATTTCCACTATACTCTGGGTTTGCTTTTGCTGTTCATCAGCCAAGTGTCTGAACAGCTGTTACTCACAGCAGCAAAGCCACCAGTTCCGGGTACAGAGGCAGCACTCGCGAGGCCCATTACAAAGCCACCAGTCCTGGGTACAGAGGCAGGACTCGTTCCAACACCCAGGCTCTGCCCTCGGCTTGGCCCGGCCCGGGACGGCGTTGGGCCGCAGAAGCCTGCGGCTGTGGAGAATGTGACACCGGGACGACGCCAGCACGTTCAGCAAACAGGACCAGGTCTGAACTGCGGTCAGGAAGCACGCGCCAATGCGTCCCAGTTTACCTCCTCACGTGAGTTCAGCTTATAGCTACTTTATTTAACGCCGAAGAGTGCACCTCTCCGGTGCGGCCTCGCTCCCCGACCCGGGCTGCCAGAGGGAACAGCGGTTCGCGACGGCGCCGGGGCGCAGTAACCGCGAAGTGACCCAAGCAGGGGCACCGCCAGAAAAGGCGTTTCTTC